GGGCAGAGCCAAGCCGCTGCCTACCGCTTGTGTTTATCATTTGTCAGATTTATTTTTGTTATACCATTTGAAAACCACGTAGTGTAAACTATGTTATGTACTTTTACTTAAGTGATTGCCGTATAGTGTTTCGGAGTAGAAACACTTAAACCTCGCCCTGCCATTTGACACCGTCCATAAGGCTTCCTGATACGTCAACAGGCCATAATCCAATCATGTTTTCACGGATATTGCGCCAGAGCCCCATACTGGTCACATGGTGCAGTTATGTTTTCAAAATCACTTTCACTGTCCAATACCATAACATTATGTGTATCGGAAAGTGTCAGACCACGGAAGTACAGTTTTGACGCCTTTTTTAATTTAGTTTACTTACAATTGACACTGCTCTGAAGATACGGTGTTAAACATTTACCTTATGCATATTGTACGAATATAATATATTGAAACTGGCGCTGGCGTGTTATTAAAAAACATTATATAGCTTAGAAATTATTACACATTGTTTTGTTTTTGTACTGGTAAACATTATAGAAAGAGACTCGTACAACTATTACTAAACTACACCCTGTAAATAGCCGTAGAGGAAATATGGACAAACATACAGGATGATGTTTTCACCTGGGCGTAGATTTCCATATCAGTGAATAATATGTTAGAGGATGTTAATACATATTTAGAATAAAAAACATTGAAAAATTTAAAACCGACTTTAAGAGTAATACTATCACTATTAGGTATTTAAAGGAATCCTACCGCTACTTTTTTTATTTAATTACTTTAGGATATTTTGGCGCTTGAAAGAATGAATCTCTGCGGGTTCTGCTAGTTTAATGTATCATATTTTGTATTAGCAATCGGCTTTAAGCATTTTCAAAATAGACTAAAAATTTGGCTCTGTTGTAAGTCTAAAACTTGCATGCTGTATTGGCGGATGCCTTTTATTCCAATGCAATTGGGACTGATATCGTATTTCAACAGCCGTCGCATTCACTTACCATCAGGTGGGCCGTATGCTCGTCTGCCTACAAAGGCAATAAAAAAAAAAAAAAAAACACTTAGAGGTTTTTATGGGCTTCGATAAAATTAACTTTTTTTTTCCTAACCTATGCTGATGGCCTGGAGAGGCTACTTCAGCTTCTCCTTGACGTGTAGGTGAGCTCACGGGGCTCAAGCCGGGAGTGTTGCTAGCACTGGCCCTAGCAAGAGCAGTGCTTCGCAGAATCTACCACTGGATCGGAAACTCGACCCATTGAGAAAACCTGGCGAGAAACTCAGTGGGCTGTGTCTGTGGGTTAATTTGCTCGTCGAGCCCTTCGTTGCAAGCGACGGGTTCGGCGAGAACGGTGACCGGTGCTTGAGGTACCTAAAAGCATAGCTAATGGATCAAGAGGCTCCGTAATGACGTGTTTAGGGCGACGTCGACTGTTTACCATTCGGTCCACCGGATCAGGTATGACCAAAGTTAACATGGCTCCAAGAGCATGTCTCTCAATGTATGCCATAAATTAGTCCAGTTATTTTTGCATACTGCGAGTCAAATAAATAAATTATACAACGAAGGTTGTTACAAGGTTAATTTTTTTGCATTAATAACTAAAAACATTAACGGATTTGCATCTAATTACGAATTCATATTATTATTTTTATGGATGTATAGATTTTTGGATGTAATGAATTGATTATATACGATGTATGTTTGGAACGATAGCTGCCCCATGTGTACGACGAATGACCTATGGTTGCGTGCACGCACTTTCTAGAATGTTACAGCGGTACCATTTCTACGAAACTGGTATAATTGAAATTTCTGTCTATAACATTGATGTATATAACCGTCTATAACCTATATGAGTCTGTACTTTTGTAAAATTATAACAGAAATGTTAGAGATTAGAGTACAGAAAAGTACCTACTATTAATACTAACGGTCTTTGCAGTCTTCATGGCTCAAGAGTCAAGACGCTCATTGTATTCATGTCGAGAAATGAACCTAGAATGATATTTGAATCATACACCCAATAACCAATATTGTTTTTAGCAAATTACTATCCCCATGGGTCTTCAATAGGATAGTGGTATTAGTAGGTAGTAGGTATTCAATAGGGTAGTGTCTTTTAAGAACAATATTTTAGTTGCGACAGCTAAAAATAATACGTGAATATTATTCTTTTTTTTATTGCTTAGATGGGTGGACGAGGTCACAGTCCACCTGGTGTTAAGTGGTTGCTGGAGCCCATAGACATCTACAACGTAAATGCGCCACCACCTTGAGATAAGTTCTAAGGTCTCAGTACAGTTCAACGGCTGCCCTGCCCTTCAAACCGAAACGCATTACTGCTTCACGGCAAAAATAGGCGGGGTGGTGGTACCTATCCGTTCGGACTCAGAAGAGGTCCTACCACCAGTATTCACATTGTTCATAAAAAAATTATTAACACCATTTGTCCTTTTTCAATAAAATAAGTTTTGTATGATACGTCCCGCTTTGAATATCAAATAAACACGATGTCGAACCATACGATGCCAAACTATTAAACACAAAGTAACATCACTCGACTTCTTTCCGTTTGCTGTAATTAAAGTTAAGTTTCTAAAGTGAATTATCACAAAGATTACTTACTAATGAAGCCGTCGTTTAACTAAATGCTAAGAGAGTTCGCTGTAATTGTAGACGTTTCTTAAAGTGAAACGAACAAATCGAGATGTCATTACACTATGCTCATTATTAAGATTACTGTTATGACGAGCCAACGACTCGTTTCAAATTTTTTTGTAATGACTCTAAGCTTCTGCTTTTTTAGGGTAAAAAAATTTATAAAATACAAGGCGATCTTTGTGTCTTACAAAGCTCCAAGAACGAACCAAATTTATTATTTATACGAATATTTTAATTAACTTTATGCACAAAAGTACAGTGACGGAATTCATGCCTAAGGCATTCTCTACCGGTCAATCATGGTTGGTTGAAAGTGCAGTGATAGGGCATTGTTTTATTGAAAAAATATTTAAAAATACTTTATATGTATACAAAAAACACATCATATACAACGCCCTACATATTATTATTAGGATGATATACAATTTACAGATACATGATGTACCACAATGGGTATATTAAGCCGAAACGTGGCTATAGTATCAGCAACGTAGAACACGTTAAAATTGTTAAAAAAATTCTAAGTCGTAATACAAAACTTAATTTATCATTTGTTTAACTGTTCGGAGGCAGCCCTGAATTAACACAACAAAAGTACCGTTAGGCCGTTCATTCAGCTAAACGAGACAGAACAAAATAGACATAACAAAGTCACTATATCAAACAATGAATACGACAAATAATGCAACCATAGTACTAGACAATTCATTTATATAACTCAAACAATATATTTCAAATTTATTACAGTGAATGTTACCAAATTTCGCTTTTATTGCAAAGAATAAAGAAGCTGTTTGATGTGTCAACACAGTAGGAACGGCTAGCGTTTCAATCAGCTGACATCACGTGACCCTTTTGAGTTTTTATAACTCGATAAGCAGCCGCTTCACTGGTGGTAGGACCTCTTATGAGTCCGCACGGGTAGGTACCACCACCACGCCTATTTCTGCCGTGAAGCAGTAATGCGTTTCGGTTTGAAGGGTAGGGCAGCCGTTGTAACTATACTAAGACCTTAGAACTTATCTCAAGGTGGGTGGCGCATTTACGTTTTAGATGTCTATGGGCTCCAGTAACCACTTAACACCAGGTGGACTGTGAGCTCGTCCCTCCATTTAAGCAACAAAAAAAAAAGCCGCATCATCGCGTTTAGTGCGTTTTTCAGACTTCCGAAAGTGATCAGAATTTGACGGGATTTTAAAAATTATTTTTACTCTTTCGTGTGTTAAATTTGGTTTACGGACATAAATCATTGTAAAATAAAAGTGATTCAAGTTATCACTTACTTAACCTCAACCTGGGAGATACAGATTGTTAATCACGATTCAAAGAGGGCTTATAGGGCGATATCATAGGCACTGATTAAGGTATTCAGTGGCCTCAATCAATTCGGACGATCTTATTATTGTATTAATAGGCTTACTTACTGGTGCTAGGTCATCTTTTCAGTCCATTTAAGGAGGTACCACCACCCTGCCTATTTCTGCCGTGAAGCAGTAATGCGTTTCGGTTTTTAAGGGTGGAGCAATCATGGTACTGTTGTACAAACTGAGACGTAGAACTCATATCTCAAAGTGGGTGTTGGTATTTACGTTGTCGAAGTCTATACTTCGGTAACCACATAAAACCAGATGGGCCGAAAACTCGTACATACGTCCAAGCAATAAAACCCTATTATGTATCAGAATATTAGGCCAAGGAAATAAAATTATTGTAAAGACATCGGTCTTTACTACCTGTGCCAGTGCCAGCCAGACGAGCATACGACCCACCTGATGGTGAGTGGTTACCGTTGCCCATGGACTTGAGCAATGCCAGGGGTAGAGCCAAACAGCTGCCTACCGCGAAATCTTCAAAGTTTTCAAGTTACTCAGACGTCTTGATGTCGATGAAAATTACGTTGAATGATTACAAATTACATTACAAAGGTAGAGTAGTAAGGTAAAAAGCGTGTTTAAAAGACTGCAGGTGTGCCGTTTTAAGTAAATTTTACAAAATATTTTAAAACCTAAACACAGTTGTAAGAGAACACATCGCACCTTTAGAATTGTAGAGACCCAAACAAAAAAATGTGTGATTTTGGAAAACATCGAATTCAAATTCAGTTTTCAAACCGAAAAGAGGAAAGAGCGAAGTAAAAGAGACCGCTGGATAAGTGTTTCCCTTTATAAACAACTTTTAGTCATTTGATTATTCATAGTCGGTAAAAAGGTCGTTCAAAGTCCATTTTTGAATTAAAGTCGAAGTCGAAGTTCGAAATGGGTCTCTATTGCGACAAGATCGTATACAAGACCCGATCATACGCTGGCATAGTGCTGGTTAAAATACATTTAGTAACACTTACCTGTTGATTAGCCGGAGTTGGTAGGGCAGCGCTCTGCGGGGGCACGGACTGCACGGGGCGAGCCGGTCTGGCGGCCGCGCGTTGCAGTGAAGCTCGTTTCACTGACACCATCAACCATACGTCCTCAACTCTTTGTGCTACCTGCACGTGAGAATATCAATCGAGTTAGAAGTCGTCGTGGCCTCAAGGATAAGACGTCCGGTGCATTCGTGTTGAGCGATGCTCCGGTGTTCGAATCTCAGGCGGGTACCAATTTTTCTAATGAAATACGTACTCAACAAATGTTCACGATTGACTTCCACGGTGAAGGAATAACATCGTGTAATAAAAATCAAACCCGCAAAAATATATAATTTGCGTAATTACTGGTGGTAGGACCTCTTGAGGGTCCACGCGGGTAGGTACCACCACCCTGCCTATTTCTGCCGTGAAACAGTAATGCGTTTCGGTTTGAAGGGTAGGGCAGCCGTTGTAACTATACCTGAGACCTTAGAACTTACATCTCAAGGTGGGTGGCGCATTTACGTGATAGATGTCTATGGGCTCCAGTAACCACTTAACACCATGTGGGCTGGGAGCTCGTCCATCCATCTAAGCAATAAAAAATAAATAAATAAAAAGAGCAAATTGCTGACATTATCATTCTGGCTAGTGTCACAGAATAGGCAAGCAATAATACCAAGCTAATCGGGCAATTTTATCTGAATTTAATAGAAAAAAAGGAGTAAATGTTTTCTTGCTAGCATAATGGATTGGTAGGAAATTAAACTAAACAATTTAAAACTTACAGTTGAGAGAACGAGATAACAAAAAAAAAGATAAAACTACCCGCAAATCTGTTCCAATGCAATTTTCACACTAAACAAATCCGGTTTTGCTTAGGTCTCAAATGTCGAGGATCATATTCGTTAATAGCTAACTCTTCTATAATGCATGCAAGCTGTCTGTAAAGTAAACGGAATTTAATTTTATTTAATCCATTGCAGAACATACTTGAGTGACCAAAGCTCTTGTTTCCTGGGTGGCGGACTGCATAAGCATGTCTCGGAACTGTTCTGGTGCTGTCAGCCCGAAGGACTGAGCGTCTTCCAGCAGCTTGTCTACAGCGAGCAGACCTCCTTCTCCGGCTAACAGCTCTACTCCAGTTGCACACCATTCGTTCGCCTGGTGAAACAAACAATCTGTTATATTTCACTGCAGAATAAATATTTATATTTATTTACCTACTTTTATTTTATTTAACAAGATTAGTAAAAGAACTGTTTTTTCTAAATACATCGAACATTCGCAGATCAAAGAGAAACCATAATTAAACAATAAATTTAATTTTTATAAATTACCTTTTAAACTTTATGTACCAACAATGCATTAGACCGATTCTTATATTATAGCGGTAGGCAGCGGCTTGGCTCTGCATTGTTGGCATTGCTGACGTCCATGAGCGACGATAACCACTTACCATCAGGTGGGCGGTATGCTCGTCTGCCTGCTCGGGCAATAAATAAATAAAAATCCTTGAACTAGTGTTATTATAGGTGATTCACTTCGCATAATAGTCATTTAATTTATTTTTCCTTTTGAATTTTGTTTTAATTTTGATTTAATTTTTGATTAATTTGTATTATTTTAATTAATATGCAATAACAAAATCCCTTTTGGTATGTGATGTTTTATAGATCTTACCTTATCTATCCTATCCATTAGTTCTCTAGCTTTCGTGAGTAGTAAATTTCGTTTTTGTATCTTGTCGATAAGCAGGGCGCTTGTACGTCTTAGTTCTTCGCATTTTGATTCTATATGATCGACAGAACTTAGCGGATCTTGCATTAGTTTATCACCTAAAACAAAAGAAACGAAGTTTAAATAATAAATAAAAAGTGACACGTTCAATTTGCAGGACTATTTGCTGTGGATTAAAATAGCTATTTAAATTTATAATTTTCTAAAATTAAAGGTTTTCGAATTGGGATTCCTTTGCCTAAAAATAATAAAAGTAAGCAAATGAATAAATGACGATTTAAATACTTGAGTAGGTAGGTATACTTTCTATGTTGATCGTTCAAACAATAAAATTAAATTTTACACTTTAGTATAATAGTTTACCATCATCGATCACTGAAGATGCAGTATCAAGATCACAGTTGCATAATTTCTCAAAGTTGTGCGCTTCCTGAATGAGACTTTCCACTCTACTGGCTGTTTCTCCCACTTCGGTCATGTCACACGCTGCTTTTAGATGATGATCTAAAGTTGCCTGTGCAAAACATATATTTTTTTTCAACTACATCATTTTTTCTATGTTTATATTTTACAATTTATTTTTATTCATTTATTAGAATAAGACCGTGCATAGAAGTTTCAATAATTTCAAAAGACGTTAATGTCAAAGATATGTGATATAATAATTATGTCATTGATTTAAAAAGTATTTATGCAGAATATACGCCACAGAGACTACATATAATGTTAAATATAACCTCAGACTTAGATATTCAGCTCTGTGTCAATGACAAAACATAACCTCAAAATATTGTTGATCTGTCATTCGTTTGTGTAGGCAAAATGGATATGATTTGTAATTTCCGTAAATGCAGAAAAACGTTGCCGAATCAAGCATGGATAACGACGTGTTCACATGCTTTTTGCGTTGAGCACGGGAAGACAGAATTCAAAAGGAGTGCAGATAACTCACTAACCTGCCCGGCGTGTGGAACCGAATTGAGAGATAAGTTTGATGTTATACAGGCGGACCTGAAGCCCAGTGAAACTTTCAAGTCTATAGTTTTAGCTGGTATGAAGCCAGACATCATAATGGATATAGCAATGAGAGCGATGTCGTTTTGGTCGTACCAAGTGGAGCAAGAAACGCTATATCAAGAGAATGTCGCAAAACATACGAGAGAAAAACTTCAATGCATGGAAGAAATCAACACTTTGAATTTGCAAAAATTAAAAGCGGAACTAGAAACATGCAAAAGAAAACTAACTTCTATGCAATCGGAATATAATAAAAAGAGGAAACAAGCGGAAGATTTGACGGCTCGCTTAGAAGAAAAAACTAGGAAAATTCAGAAATTACAATTTCAGCTCGACGCTCACAAACGAAAAGACATACACGTAGGTCAATTTGAAGGGGCAAGTAATCAAGAAAAGTGCATGGATATTTCTGATCTTGTTGGGAATAGAGCAGCGTCGGAAGCATTTGTTTTTAGACCCAATACGGAAGCGAATGAGTCTCGTCGAATATGCTCCCCAAAAACCCCTATGTTCGACTTTCGTCACAGAAAAAAACCAACCAACGACTTTCAGTTCAGGCCTATAATGTCTTAGCATTTGTGTTATGTTCGCGATAATAAATAACACGTTAATAAACTTTACAATTTAATCTCTTTGTGTGTAAATGTTTGTTTTGATTACGTAAAACTCCAGTGTATTTTAAAAAGCGTTTATTATTATTTGTAAATTAAGTGTAGCACGATTCACGAATAAGTTTACCTGCATCTGTTTGAAATTCAATAAAAACGTTCTAAACTTCAACCAGTGATTGAGTTTTGTGGAATGCTTCTGCCAGAAATTATCAAACTGCTTCTCTGTCTCTTCCAGTTGTACTAGTAACCTGAAATGAAATAAACGTTATAATTATATTAGCTGTAAATCACTAAAAAAACGATCGACTATATCGACGCTTGAAAGGCAAACGTGACTAAGCGACAATAACTGCTTTGTACATAAATGATAGGCAATAACCATATTCAATGCGCAAAAAAATATATTTCTAGGTCTATTAAAATCATTTCAATCCTACAGCTACTAGCTAGATTCTACTACAGCTAGATTCGTTAAAATAAGATTTGTTTTCAGGTATTTCAACTTTAAATTAGTCTACTGTAAAGTTCACGTATTGTCGCTTAGTCACGTTTGACTTTCAAGCGTCGATATGATTGTTTGCTATAGAAGCATTTCAAAGTACAATCATCTTTCAAAGTTATATAGGTACTAGACAGGGGAAAGTGGAAAAACATCTTAAGATTGAAGCTCATGGGTGACGGTGGTCACGACCCTCAGACATGAGGAACACGATTCGAGGAGGAGGAGAAAAACTTTATTTGACAAAGAACACAATTTTTATAATTTTACCTTTCGACGGCAGCTACATGACTTATAATGTTGTACGTAAGATTCGGCTTCCGCACTTGTGTTAATAAATCTTCCCCTTGTGTTGTTGCTATTGATAATTCAGATTTTAAAGCTTTATACCTGAAATTATGAATAATACTTAGTTATAATCCTAATTATAAATATAATCTTTTCAAAATAGTTTCAAGAGGTGGTGGTACTTGTGGGCTATTAAGATATACATTCTAGCTTTGTGTTTTGTTTCAAAAAATACTACAGAATTAACTTTTAAAATCGTGTAATATCATGGCTTTCATTTTAAATCTGCTGTAAAATAATATAAAAAACGAGTAACTTCGACAGAGATTATGAAGGAAAATATGTGATTTGTCAAATTAAAAGTAGGTATAGATCGTATTAATTACCTAGTTCCCTGACAGTCTAATAATTCTTTGGTTTGTGTGGGATCGTTTCCCATATCGCAGTCGACTATCTCGTGCATGAAATCGTCCAGCTTCGTCGATGTCTCTTTCATAAGCGTCGAAAATTTCTCTAAAGCCTGTATAACGAGACGTAATCAAACATATCATTGTAGGAGTTATAAATATTGATTTACGCTCGAAGGTTCAAGACACGTAGTACGAATGTGTTTGTACGCAATATGACGTGGTTGGTTTCTAGTGCTCACGGATGTTAAGACTATTTGGAGCGCAAAGCAAGTATTGCTTTAAGCTATGACATGTTCTTCTTCAAACATGGTTTTGGCGGAGATTGGTAAGCAGGAGACAGCGTTTGTGCCTCTGACATTGCCTAACGTCCACCTGCAACGGTGACCACACATTATCAGGTGAGCCGTATGCTTGTCTGCCTACAATGGCTAAAAACTTCCATGTCGAATCTAAAGGAAGAGTAAACGTTATCCTAATGCAATTGAAACTTGACAACATGGCTCAACGCGGGCACTAACATGCGGAACACATTATGTGATATGTATGGGGTCTATAACAGTTTAACACGAACTGAATTGGAAGTTTCTCTGCCCACGTCAATGGATGGTGAAATACAAAATGATACGGTAGACGAATTGGACGATGCTGTGCTCCAAGTGAATGTCTCCTAGCATAAGCTAACTAAACAGGTATAAGTGTATAACGAAAAACAAGCAGCGGCTCTCGGGAGACAGCGGCTTGGCTCTGCCCCTGGCATTGCTGATGTCCATGAGGGACGGTAACCACTCACCATTTCTGCCGTGGAGCAGTAATGCGTTTCGGTTTGAAGGGTGGGGCAGCCGTTGTAACTATGAGACCTAAGAACTACTATCTCAAGGGGGGTAGCACATTTACGTTGTAGATGTCTATGGGCTCCAGTAACCACCTAACACCAGATGGGCTGTGAGCCCGTCCACCTATCTAAGAAATAAAAAAAATAAAAAAAAACCATCAGATGGGTCGTATGCTCGTCTGCCTACAAGGGCAATAAAAATAATCCGCTGAAGTTGTTTGGTCGGTTCGTTTGAGACGGAGGTAGAATTTATTTTGAATTTTGATATTCAATAAATACTCGTATGTTAAGTTTATGGCCTAATTACACCCAAATCGATTTTTTTTATTTTATTCTTTGTTGATCTGATTGGATTATTGGATATTAAATATTTTAGTTATAATTTTTCATAAGATACAGTCTACGAATATATAATAAGGATACAGTAGTATAATTCATCGTTCTCAGAATTTCATTAATGCGATCAGCATTATGAAATATCCCATTTTTCTACACATAATTCAGTGCGCAAGGATTGACATCATTGAATAATGAATATACTACCGGATTGGACTGGTATGTTTGAAAACTTAAACTCTAATAAAACATTTTCGATAGCGCGATTCAGCATTTGTTTAATTCACATTATCGTCAACAGATGGCGAAAAGTAACAAATGGTTTGTATTACCGGAAAGTTTCCCCATAGTGTGTATTTTATTAATTTATTCTATGGATTATTAATAATATTAGATTGATGTCAGTTTTTTTTTCACAGAAAAGAAACTCTCCTTCAAGTACCTCTTCTTTAACTTATTGAAGAGTATTGCGAAGACGATTTTTAATTTTAAACTACCGATCATTAATTAATTCATCCAGTCCCCATAACTTTGTGAAACATGAAATATTTTTGAAGACACTTACTATTCGCTGCTGTATCCATTCAGAATGTGAATATTGTAACTCCCCGCCAAGGTCAGGAGTCAGCTGAGACCTTTCGAAGTGCTCGTAGAGTTCATCGACCGTGGAGCACACTAGCACTTTGAACCTGAATTCCTCCTTAAACAGTTTGCTGCTGACCTCGGACAGCGCTTTCTGCAGGAAACTTGACGGGCGAAGAACGTAAACCGCGTGGATTATACCAGGGAAGAATTCCTGTTTAAGAATTATTTATTACATACATCGATGACATAAATATATGAATCTAAATTTGAATAACGTTAAGATAACGGTATATTAACCGAATCAATAAATATCAAATCATATTGACCTAAATTTGTGATTCATTTGTAATTAATTAAATATAAATAGCCTTATTAAATTTATCAAAATCTGATATTGACTTTGTGTTTATTAAAATCAGGTGAATGAAGGTTCAACTCACTGAGATCCTAAGTAATACTGTTTTTACAGAATTCCATCTGTCCTTTCTTCTGTCCACTATAATGTGGAAGCCCATATCTGCTTCTAGTATCCTGGAAATGAAATGATAATTTTTGAGCAATCGTTGTCGTGTTTTCAAGGAATCTGTACTTGAATTGTAATAGTGAGTAGACTGCTTTAATAACTTCAAAATATATTTTGCGAACGATAACAATTAAACGTAATATTAGTTATAAAAAGTGATAATTATACGGCGCGGCGTAAATCGGACGAGGTTACTAGTAAATGTAAATTGTGTAATGAAAAAATTAATAACCATTTATGTTCTAAAAATGCAAATAATGCGTCTTACTTATTAACTCACTGTCGCAAAAGAGTAAAGGGACTTTACGGCCCACCGGATGAGAAGTATCGGAGCCATACGATAACATTAAAATACGATTGTGATATAAAAATTAGTTATCATTATTGTTTAATTACAACTATTAAAATTCAAATTTGCTTTGAAACGGAGATGGTTAGTTGTTAACCCTTTTTTATGATTGAAAAATTACTGGTAGCCCGGAGGCCTCTCCAGTTTCACCAGGGCAGGTGGGCGTGCAGAAGCTCAGCAAGGAAGGGTGGGATTTGCTAACAGCTGCCTGAGCGCCTCCGAAGGAGACCTAACAACTCAAGAGCAATTGCTTCGCGAATGAAGCTGCTTACGGATCGGAATCGCGACCCACTGAGAAGATCTGGCGAGAAACTCAGCGAGCTGATGCATGGGTTAGTGTTAACCCTTTGACTGCCTTGTAAGTCATCTGTGCCCCACGTGGCGCACTGAAGTGATTACTTCAATTACTGTTAATAAGCGCCTGGAATGCCAAGCTTTGCCTTCTTTCCTTTTAAATATGTTTAATCTTTTAGATTTATTAGAAATAGATTCATTTTCAGTATCTTCGGATTCGCCTTTCCCAGATTCTACTAGATGTTCCGATCAGTAACAAAAATCGACATAATTAGTTGCCTCACGTAGGTTAGCGGTTACCTACTTGGGAGTCAGTGAGTTAAAAGTTATTGTGAGTACATATATGTACACTCATTCATTATTGTAATACTCACGAAGGCACAGAGGTGAGGTAGAGCAACAGTCTTCGGTACTCGGAGGCGGTGATGAGATGAAAGTTATTGTTGTCCGGGAAGGTGATGAGGGGACGGTGGTCTTTGGCCAGTCCTCCGGTGGCCAGCGCGTATTGTGGCAGTAAAAGCTCTCCCACATTGCGAGCTTCGTCGCCTTCGCTGCCGCACCCATCACACTCCGCTTCTATAGACAAAAACAAGTTTTAAGTTATACCACTTTTTGCGGTGAAATAATCCTGTGTCCCCGCTTCTAGCAGTCATCAACTTTATAATCTCACGTTTATTATTGTCATTATGTTGTTTAAGATTTTCGTGGTCATGGACAACGTCAATGAAAAATTCGAGATTAATCTTTAAAAGGAGTAAATTACACCTATCTGAATGAACTGCTAAAATCCATTTACAACGTAAGATAACCTATTTGAAAATTTGAATACGAAATATAATCTTGTCATGACAATTGAAGGAAATGGAATAAAAAGAAATTTAAATGAACGACTGAAATGTTCTAACTAAGCTCTCGACGGGAGCCAATTGGCAGCTGCGCTAACGAGACAAGTTCACTCGTTTATACTTCATTCCAAATCGTCTCCACACATGTTTCAATACAGTCTATAAACGGCAGACGTCCTATAATAGATTAGACTTGAAGCGAACTATAGTGAATCTCATTTTTGTTTTTAATAAAATATGATAAATGTAACATANTGACATCTAAGTTGAAATAAATGATTTTTAATTTGAATTTGAATTTGGATACCATAGAGCCCAAATATTAAATATCTTTAAAAATGTATTGACTCCAACTGGGAATCGATTCAGTAGCCAGCCGGTGGTGCAGTAGTCAGAAGTACTAACCACCAAACCTGGGTGACTATCAATGGATTTATATTTCTTTTATTCAAAAAAAAAATAACTATATCTACAGACACTTAGGGTGAACTTCGATTATATTATTACAATTTAGAAAGCTAGCTTCATCTATTTAGGTTAATTCAGCGAAGAAAGATAATTTAGGTTAAATTGTTTATGTAGAAACTCGACTTGAGAAAGATCGTACGATGCGGGCCGCTCTCAATTTAGTAGCTTCGAAAATACATGAGGTCTAAGAACGTTAAAGGCTGATAACATTATTATGTATTATTATTACGTTGATACAAAACATCGATTTCATGTTATAAAATGTGAGATTTTTCATATAAATAATGTTTTATTATAACGATAAACCATATCTATGTAGGTAGTTCTCAAAATGCGAAGACACGAGTAGTAAACACTTACTTAATTTTCGTGTAAACAAATTATAAAATTATTCCGAAAGATTGTTTCAGGGAATAATAAAAATCAAGATGTGATTTTATACCTTTTTTTACATTTTTATTGCCTTTGTATGCAGACGAGCATACGGCCCACCTGATGGTAAGTGGTCACCGTCGCTCATGGACGTCAGCAATGCCAGGAGCAGAGCCAAGCCGCGGCCTACCATTAAGTACTCTCCGCAAGCCTCGTTTGAAGAAGGACATGCATAGCGCTCCGAAGCGCACCGTGGAGGGGAGTTCATTCCAAAGCCGGACGGTACGTGGAAAAAAGATCCATTAGGTATACCATTTACCATTATACCGTTTGATAATATTGGCGGCAGAATTGAGCGGGACCATGATATACGCCAACAAAAACGAAGCAATGTGAAGACTAGATGTAGAAAAATGTTAACACAATAAATTTAGAAATCGGTAATTTAATCCTGAAATTAAGGTCAATCACTTACTTTTGTAAAGGTCACGATAATGGACGGTCCAAGAACAGTTTTGGTCCGATACGGATAATTTGGTGTAAACGAACACAGTATAAATAAATTTTAGTCGTACGAAAACAGAACAAAGGGCGTTGAGAACAAAATATTAAATGCTATTAGTGTGGGACAATGAACGTTGTCCAAAATAATTGTAATCACGGCTTGTTCAATTGAATATAAACTTCTTTTTTTTATTTTTTTATTGCCTAGATGTGTGGACGAGCTCACAGCCCACCTGGTGTTAAGTGGTTACTGGAACCCATAGACATCTACAATGTAAAATGCGCCACACACCTTGAGATATAAGTTCTAAGGTCTCAGTATAGTTACAACGGCTGCCCCACCCTTCGAACCGAAACGCATGACTGCTTCACGGTAGAAACAGGCGGGGCGCTGGTACCTACCCGTGCGGACTCACAAGAGGTCCTACCACCAGTAAAAAGATATGGTTTTATTTGGTCTTTATTTAACATAGATCAATTTAAAATTGAAGGTAATGTGAGCATTTATTTCCTTTTATAATAAATATGTACTTATTTATTTGAAAAATGATGACAATGTAGCAATTTTTAGATTAAATGACTTTGATATTTCAGTTTAAAAATCGCGGTATATGAATATCGTTAATTTCATTTATGTCTTAATTTAATAATACAGTTCTCGATAATTTGAAAATATCAAAACATATTAACGAAGCAACATAAACTAAATGCTTACTTAGGACTTGCGCGAATCCCCATGATTTAATCTCCATTTATGTTTTAATTTGGTTTTATTATTTTCATTTTGCGATTTACGACGTTTGGACTACGAGCAACATAAGTACGGCTTTTGTTGTTTGCGGGTTAACGAAATATTCAATTATCAAAACGAAACACATATGTATGTACGTATTGCGCAGCTTGGCAAGTGAGTATTGTTTCCCGTTTAACTTAAGGTAGTACATTCAATATTCCTTTTTTGGATACAGCGACCATAAAATGCAATTAAAAACAAATAATACTAATAATTATAGTCACATTTAAACAGTCAGTTTAATCAAATTTCGTGTTATTCGTTTTGTTAATTTATAGTTCCTTCGTAATTTGGTACATAATAACTAAAACCCCTATAGATTCATATTAATTTGTTAATTAGCTACCACATCGCTCGGAGTGTCGGCGTAGCTTCGATGAGAATTAAAATTAGGTAAGTCTTAATTTAAAATACTCGTAAAATAGCAAATGTAAAAAGAGGAAAAATAGTGGGACAATAAAGAGAAATATAATATGAGTATGATTTGATTATTTACAGCTGTCAAGGTTTTAATAAACCAGGATTCCACATGATCACGACTGCTATGCCAAGAGTAACCGACTATGATGATGATGGTGATGATGATAATTTTATTGAATTATACAGAGAGCCTCCTTGTAAATCATCTTATTGGTAACTTTAACTGGTGCCTTCACAAACAAATTGTTGGCTTCACTAATGCATGAAAGAGCTACTTACAATTGGCCATGCGAGAAGCAATTGGTGAAGAGGTCTACGGCCGCGGTGTCCAATGTTGACCTTGTGCTTTATTTATTGTCGTTACGAAACCAACCACTGTTAGTAATATTGAATGCGTTTAAACTTTAATGGGAAGTTGTTGGGTAGACGAAAATTTTGCGGCAGGGAAACATGCTCGTCGGTATCGCATCTCATCTGTAATTGAACCTTTATCACGTTTCTTTGCAGAGCAAGCACTATTAGGTAGGTGTTGTTAAACAAATTGGGGTGAGCTTCGTTTTTCAAAAGTATTTTAGGCACAATAATAAATGATATTATGAGATGAAAATCCAAGTGCAGACAACGAAGTAAATAAAAATCTATTAAGTAGCCATTTGTACCATCACTTCGTCAATAGATGTTTTCGATATCTTCGCCTTCTGCACGAGTTAATTTACCATTAATAATAGCTGCTTCTTGATCGTTGCGAAGCGTCTTAATAGCCAAGTGTTACCATAAATCGTTGAATACGTTCTGCTAGGGACCATAAGTGTCTGACGCAAATTTTGGGGCAAGCTTATTTTTCCGTCTTCGGTTAGGTTTGGTTAGGACGAAACATTTCAATTACTGCCTCCTTTCGCCTTCATATTGATGGTAAACTTCATCTGTGTGACTATAGTCCATAGACAGGTTCTTTTTTTGCTGGCGTGTATCTCGCCAGCTTCTATTGAACCATCTAATCATCTAAAACTCACGTTTGTCACTGCTGTTCGTCTACACATTCTCGTATATCTTCTTTGCAACATTTTTTCGTAACGATTTCAACACATCAAATGATGGCATGAATTAGATCGAATTTATGTTGCCGCAAAATACAAAAATAAAATATTCAGTAAGTATAGTATACTCTTCACTATACAGTGCTACCTCTTCTTTTTTTAAGCGAGAAATATTATAATGATATTGTATTGTTAGTTTACATTTATGGGAATGACTTACTTACGAAAATCTGAATATTTTTTTAAAACTTTGGTTATTTATCAAGCAATAGTAGAAGTATTTTTTAAATCCAATATAACTTAAAATAGCACATTCTATTCACTTGATACAGATGAAAATCTACTTTGTTTTTTTAATTTTTGTTAATTCAGTCAGACCAAACATTTTAGTTAGTGAAATGCCACGACTCGGAAACGCGACTGATGAAGGAATATTGAAACAAGCAGTATGGTATGTACATAACTGTTATCCGGCAAGTGCAGCTGTCATTGCATGGTTCGCTGCAGAGCAAGTCTTGTGGAAAGAGCACTGATCTCGTGGTTGTCAAAAAAAAAAAACAAAAAGAAATGCACTTAGCGCACTTTATTGCGATCTGCAGATAAGTTTGTGTTTGATGATGACTTTACTTTTGTACCCCAGTCGTCTATTGTTTTTAAAAGCGCACTGTATGCATCTAATAAAGTAATGTATGTACACTTCATTGGTAAGCTCGGCAGCCTACACAACGTTAATGAATTTTGATGTATGACGTCGTTCGATTCCTCCTTATGTGTCAGTGACTTCCTACGTGACCTTAAATTTTAAATATGACACCTACGGAACCAAAGTGTGAGATATTTTTTTTGTAATTAAAACAAAACCAGCATCAAATGATAGCATGAATTAGATCGATTTTATGTTGCCGCAAAATACAAAAATAAAATTTTCAGTAAGTATAGTATACTCTTCACTATACAGTGCTACCTCTTCTTTTTTTAAGCGAGAAATATTATAATGATATTGTATTGTTAGTTTACATTTATTTTAAAGCATATCCAGGGAACTATAATTCTGTGGTTAGTGCATTTAATACCGGAAGAACATACACATATCTTATTGCTTTCGATAACCGTGTTGCCCTTCGCTATGTCAGATTT